CCCCAAAACCCCAAAACCCCAAAACCCCAAAACCCCTGGAAGAAGATTTTTAATTGAGTTTATTAAATATAATCGGATATTTACAATTTATAATTCACCAAAAGAGTTAACACTCTATTAAAGACATTTCGAGAGATTCGTAATCTTCTAATTTTTTTATCTCTTCTTCTTGAGTCTTTAAGCTACCAAAAATGGTGAGGCCAAGCCCGATTGATATGATAGTCGTACCTACATAGGTTCCGAGGCTTGGGAGGCCATCCTGACCAAGTATACATCCAAGAATCTGTGCTGTGAAGGGCTTCATTAGAAACATTCCTGCTACAATGTGTACTGGGAAATAATCAAGCATGAAAATGTAGCTTCCTACTCCAATAATTCCACAGATTGGTGTAATGACCAAAGTTGAAAGGGGCAGCCATTGGGGCTGGGTCCATCCGAAAAAGCCGGTCTGTGGGTCTCTGCTAAACAGCTCTGAAGTGGAGACGTTGTATGTAGTTAGTCAATATACTCCAAAGTAGCATAGTTGAATCAAACAGAAGCAGTGGAATACTATCAAAGATGGAAGCTTTCTGATTGCTCTTGAGTTGAAGATAAAGGCCAAAGTGAACATTGGCATGGATATTATACAAAGGAAGTCTCCGTATAGGATATTAGTCTCTCCTCCTAATTTCTTTGAGCTGTTGTCACTGATCAACATGATGATTCCTACTACAACACCTCAAGTTCCAATGATCTCAAATCTATTGACTGCAATCATCATGATAATGTTAGCTATGATTAGAAGCACTCCTCCAGAGTTGCATAGTACAGTCACATGGCTTACAAGAGTTTCTTTAGAGCCAACAAAAGAGATAGTCGAGCCAATACAAGTGAGCGATGCTGCTATTAGTATTTCTGAAAGTGTTGTCCAAGTGAATATTTCATTATAATCCAAAGATTTCTTATTCTTCTTCCACAGATACAAAGTGATTGGAATGCAATACAGAAAGTTTAGCTGATACCTCCATACTCCAATCATGGCTAAAGGTACATCTTCATATAAGTTCACAAATGGCATGATGCATGATGAGCATACGACTGCAATCACTGCTAGTATGATTCCTAAAGTAATGTTAAACATCTTCAAGTAAAGTACAAAAGATATTTTGACTCATGAATTTAGGCAAACATCTTCATTGAATGATTCAAGACACCAATGAATAACTTATAATAATATACTGATTTTCTTCTTCCCAAAATTGGTGTAGAAAATATTGTGAAAGCGGGCAAATTTTGCCTCTTCCTTCATTGTAATGAGCTTACCTTTAAAGAATCCTTTTTCTTGTTTTTGTTCGAAAGCTGGGCTAACCTCGGCACTTAATACTTCGCTAATGTTCATAAATACTAATTAACCTCAACTATATTCTCTTTAAATGGGGTTTTGGGGTTTTGGGGTTTTGGGGTTTTGGGGTTTTGGGGTTTTGGGG